TCTCTCTCTCTCTCTCTCTCTCTCTCTCTCTCTCTCTCTCTCTCTCTCTGTGTGTGTGTGTGTGTGTATGTGTGTGTGTGTGTGTGTGTGTGTGTCTGCATTGAAGTCGGTTCCAAGAGGTATGCGTCAATTCCATGTGTTGAGTATGCACCAATTTGCAAAGAAAGAAACGTTCAGAAGATGGAAGAGGACAAAAAAAGAAGAACAAAAAAGATGCGCCAAGTTGGTCCCACAGAGCGTGATACGTTTGTTGGCCAAACAAGAGTCTGACGAACCAGTGCGGCACAGTCATGCTTTTTGCGAGGACTTGTGTACAGTGAACATGACAACACACTTAAAAAAAGCAAAAAAAAGCAAAAGAAGTTCATAAGCTGTACAGTAGCAGTACTGTCCACAGGGGCGAGGACCCACTAGCAAAGAGGATTGGATGGAACACCTGAATCTGGATGCGTTTTGACCACGAATGAAACACCTGAACCTGAAGCAGTTCAATCTCGTGCCCTAATTAGAAGAAAAAAAAGATAGACTCGTCTTTTCACATTTCGGTGAGCGGTGCAAGGGAGCCGCAATACAACTAGCGTCGTATCATCCCACTTACATGAAGTGAAAGGAGAGAGAGAGAGAGAGAGAGAGAGAGAGAGAGAGAGAGAGAGAGAGAGAGAGAGAGAGAGTACCGGCTAAGGGAAAGGAAGTAGATAAAGAAGGAGAAGAAAGACTGTGAACCCAGGGGAGAGGTCCCATTAGCAAACAGGATTTGATTGAATGCCTGCATAGAGATTGAATTGCTTTTCTGCACCTCGACGTAAAAGACCTCTCCAGATTCAGGAGCTTAATCCAATCCTCTTTGCTAGTGGGACCTCACCCCAGGTGTGCAATGCATAGACGGGGGAAAAGAATAAAACCACAACCGAATTTGGTGAGGGGGAAGGAAAAAAGGGGAAAGAGAGGGGGGGGAAGTTATAAATGCCCCCTGGGACGAAACCTTTGTGGGGTTATGAATCCCCTTTACCCGTGACTGCACCGGCCATGACCGGGTATTCTCTGTACCCGGCCATGGCCAGAGGGTCCCGGTCATGGAAAAAAAAAAGAAGAAAAAAGACGCGGTTCCAAAAAAAACCTGAAAACAAAGTGTAATGCAGAAAAATATACTGAACAATAGCAGCAAAAGTTCGTTGTTATTCTCTCTTTTCTGCATAGAGCATATAATATGGGCATTGGGCACTTTACCTGGTATGGAGGCCTTGTTTCTTTACAGTCTTAGACCACCAGTACTTCGCCCGTTAACGCGCGACGACTGATGGGCTTCGGCCTACCGGACCGCAATGGCTGGAGGCGCCAGCCAAAAGAAAGTCGAAAAGGCGCGGCGGCGGCTCAATATGGGCACTTTACCTGGTATGGAGGCCTTGTTTCTTTACAGTCTTAAACCACCAGTACGTTGCCCTTTAACGCGGGGCGACTGATSGRCTTCGGCCTACCRGACCACAATGGCTGGAGGCRCCAGCMAAAAGAAAGTCGAAACGGCGGCGGCGGCTCGACAAAACTTRGCGCGCAGGGCATATTCAGGCTCGGGCTCAATAGCTGGGCCAAGTACTGGTGGTTTAAGGTTGAATTTAGGCGGCGCCGTTTTCCAGCCCTCTATTTTGATAGGGCTCTGACGCAGTTTAATGAGAAGGTTGGGAAAGCATGGTCCCAATGGGTGAATTGTTTTACGGGCTGGATGGGCTGGTAGCAGGGTCCATAGTCCAGGTACCATTAAGGGTAATTTTAGTGGTAGGACCGTCTGTTAGGTTGACAATCTCTAAGTATAAATAGAACAGTCCTTCGTATGTCTCAATCATTCCTAGGCGCAACCCCTGAGGAGGGCCAGTACTCTGACGACTGGTCCAAACAGCTGTTGGGTTATCGTCAGCGTTCTTCATGGTTATGGCGGAAACACCTATTTTTGTTTTTCGGGCTTATCAGAATATCATAAGAGCTGATGTGCTCGGCGGATTCTTATTCTTTGTCTCTTCTTGTCTTTCTTCCCCTTCCTCCTTCTTCCTCATGCTTACCTCACCTCACATGCCTCGAGTGTTATTCACTTAGGCTATTGCATGTTGTGTGGACTTTCTCTACTGTGACATCCACATAGACAACCAATGGTGAAATCTACCCCATCTGTGTGACTATGCTCTTACCTCGTGGGTTACATCACGTAATGGGTTGTCCTGTATCACTCAGATTCACTTTTCTTCTTTCGGCCACTATTCCCCTTCTTCTCTTCTCTTCGGTCACCTTCCCTTCTACTAGTTGGAGTGCCGTTGTTGTGCGTGAGGACGTTTTTAGTCCTCTCGAGCTTGCCGAGGATGCATCGGAGTACTACATGTCATTTTTGCAGGGCATTTCATCAGAGAATGCCCCTTCCGTAATCGGCCCTATGGCGCGGAGATGGCGGCGAATATCAGACGTGAATTATCAACCGGAGAAGATAGCGGGATTTTGCCCGCGCCCGCGCAAGGTACTAGCACCAGCAACGTTATCGTCCCGTACGAGGCGCCAATGGGCAGGAATCAGAGAGAAGAGGGTGCAGCTTGGAGCGGAGGCCGAGGTGGTAACAGAGGCTACAACGGGAATCACTTCGGCAATGCCCAGCGGTACTCCAGACCCTGGTCAGGAGGCTATCGAGATAGAGAGAAAGACGACAAGATTGAAAAGATCTATGGCTTACTAGCGGAACAAGTTGAAGAAAGAGAGCAGAGTAAACGGGAGGCAGCTCGGTTGGCATCATTAGAAGAAGAGAAAAAGAGACTTCAGGTGGAGGAGGAGAAGCGTGTGCAGGAAAAGAAGGAAAGGGAGTTACAAGAGACAAAGCTTGGGAAGATTGTCCGTACGAGCGTGAAAGCAGTCTGTGAGTCGGCGTTGGGGAGAAAGGTTGAGATTCCGGAAGATGACGAGTCCGAGATCAGCAAGCTCTGCAAGGAACTTGAAGAGGTCAAAGCTAAGTGTGCGGGCGGCGTAGCTGAATCGAGCCTAGAGGCACTTAGAAGGGAGAAGGAGAACCTTTTGAAACAACAGGATCGTGGGAGTGAGAAAGATAAGTGAAGAAAGGATATCGAAGAGCTTAAGGCAAGGCATTTATGTAAGAAGGTGGTAGGTGAAGGCTCTGGTAGTACCTCTGACAAGGTTGTGGCACTCAAATTGCAAATTGCTGAGCTGACATGATTTCAGAAGGCTTTTGAAGAAAAGAGTTCAGAGATCGCTACACTGAACTCGGAGAACGTGCATTTGTGGAAGGAGGTCAAAGAAATGAAGGATGAATTCCTTAATCAAAGGAATGCGACAAAGAGTGGAACGAAGGAGGTCACAGCGAAGAGTCCTCTGAAAGAGTCGTCGCTGGGGAAGCAAAAGATCACGTTGGGCCGGGAGGCGATGTACACACCCAAAGACATGGATGGGTTGTACAACGCTTACAATGACGCGCTTGCAGATAAATAAATGGCACTCCGGGAGGCGGAACTACTCAAGGAACATATGGCGAGGATCAGAGACTCTGAAGTACGACTATCAACTTGAAGGGCGTCCTTAAGGAAGACCACGCCCAAAAACCTAAAAATGACTTTAAATACTATAAGGTATCAATCTAGCGATGAGAAGGAAGGTGGCGTGAATGGTAAGGAGGCCGATAAGGAGAAAGGCCAAGGTCGATCGATCATGGGACGTGGCGCAAGACATGGAGAAGGCGATGCTAAAGAGCTTTCGAGAGAAGAGAATAAAGGAGTTGAGAGTAGAGAAGAAGACGGACCTGGACGAACTGTGCCAAGAAGAGGGGATCATGTACATTAAGCTCGAGCAAGCTAAGACCGATATGACCGAGATTCTAGCCAAGAGGGATTTCGAGGTATGGTTGAAAAGTAAGCAGCAGCAGGATGAGGATGATTATAATGTGAGTTATGCAACATCGGCGGAAGATGTTAATGACAACTGAGGCACCCCGAGTGTATCGTACTTATGGGAACTTGCCTTGCTGTGTCGGGATATCGGGAATATCTACCTAGCGAGAGGATTACATTCATCTTTTGGTTGAGCCTTGTCTTGTTAATTCTTAAAGGTGAGATCAGGTGGGGAATCAAATTTCATTACTTACTTTCCCTATTGATTAGGAATAATTATGATTTTGAAGTGTGTCCCGCCGTCCCGGTTCGATTGTATATGCGATTCTTTCTCCTTGGTTTCACCATACTTATATAGGGAGTACATCTAGGTCTGTGAATGTACGTTGGAAGGAGCATGCTGCTTCGACACGCCTTGGTGGGAGAGTTACTGGCAATCGCAAGTTGTATCGATGGTTAAGCCGTTTTCGATTAGATGGCTATGTTGCAATTCCCTTGTTTGTTACAAATTAGCATGATTTGCTTTAATTAGAGAATTTTTTTATTCGCAACTTTGATCCCTCACTCAATTAAGCGTTGAATATCCGAAAGCAACTTCGTGCATGTAGGCCGGGTAGGAAAGAGAGATGCAGGAAACGGACTTGGCAAATCTTGAATTCCTTTTTTTCTTCTACTTCCTTGTCTTCACCTTGCTTCGCCTTGTCCTCCCATGCCTCTACGCTGACTTTATTAAACATTTTGTTTTCCCCTTTCATCTTCTTCTTCCCCCCTTATGCGTTCACACAACCTAACTCTCTTAAGCACGTCACCTTCTGTAACTAATATACCCCTTCTGTTTTTTACCTCCTTCAGATATACCTCCGTTTGCCTTCTTTCTATCCTCCACAAAGCCTTCGATCTGAAAATTCCGACCCCCTTTTCAATTAATATAATATTGAAATGTTCCCTTACCAGTAATTGGAAATTGGTGCGATGTCTTTTCGGTTCCTCTGTTGTTTCATCCGACGATCTTCTGGTGTGTTTGTTGAGAAAAATCCGGGCATGGTTTAGGAAGGGTGTACGTCCAACGTTTCATAAATTTACTCGATTTTGCTCTCGATCTCTCTTCTTGAAGAATACACTAGTAGGATTCCTTACCAATCCCTGGTCGTGGAAAAATAATGTCTACATGGGATCTTAATAAATACGTCTGTGCGTACACTATTGTTCCCTCAGTGTCTTGCCAACTCTCTCGTACTACCCTGAAACTTATCTTGTCTCAAGCATGTAAGAGGCGATTTGATATTTGTCTATCTGTTTGATTGGTTGTGCGTATAAGGTATGATGATTGCTAAGTTCGGAATGTGTGTAGGAATATTATAAAACGTCAGCAGTTACCTTCCACGTACCTTGACTCAGTATCCTGTCGACTTAGACCGGTATGGACCAAAAACAAGTCCATTTGTGATCTTTTGCATAACGTTACGGCCTTTTCTGCTGTTAATAAACCAGCCTGCGTTTTTGCTACCATGGACCCCATTCTTCCTTGTAGCAACGATTATGTTTCCTTTAGGTTTAGTTAGTCTGGCTTCATTCCTAGTTTCCTCCGTATTTTTAAAAATATTGTTGCCACCCGCTATGATGTGAATATTAATGATCTTAGGAATCCGATAGGTTTTTCTCTGGGAAATTGCTTCAAGGAAAATTCGACAGTTGTTTCATCTGAATTATCCGGGTGTATTTCAAATGTGAGCAATGTTAACTCACAATTGTCCATGAATGAGATCCTTACATGGAAGGATAAATTTGTTGGATTGGTCCTATGTCCTCTAGATCTTAATTTGGGCAATACATTTGTTTGTTGCCCGGTTGTTTATGGGCTTGGATAAAAAAACTATTTCTTGAGAACCGGGGGCTGCAAAAGGTCGTCGTCATCCACGAAGAAGATGTGTTATAATTATGTAAAAACGATTACAAGAATGAGAAGTTGGGACTGTGAAACTGTGCGTTCTTTGAACGCGGGGTTTGCGTTCAGAAATTGAACGCTTTGAACAAGCGTTCAATGAATGCGCGTTCTCCACTTAACAACCATTTCGTCCAATTTTTATTTTTTGAACGAAATTGAAACCGAGTTTTTTTTATGAAAACTCGTCAAAATTTGTTGTTCCTTAGGGTGGACCTCTTGGTTGTACATGGACCTAGCTTGAGACCAGGCACCTCCAGGCAGGACTGCCAGGAGGTGCCTGGTCTCAAGCTAGGTCCATGTACAGCTGGGCGGTCCAGCGTTTTACAAATGCTGGATGATCAGTAACAACAAATTTTGACGAGTTTTCAGCCCAAAAAATCGGTTTCAATTCCGTTCAAAAAATAAAAGATGTCCATTTTGACGAAATGGCAGTTACTTGAACGGGTTTGCGGCTATCAGAAAACGGAAAGAAAAAAGAAAAAAAAGAAAAAAAAAAGAAAAAAAAAAAAAAAAAAAAAAAAAAAAAAAAAAAAAAAAAAAAAAAAAAAAAAAAAAAAAAAAAA